GTATGACTCTGCCCCCTGTGAGCAAAATGTGTGAATCAGGTCCCCAACAATTGTCAGGTGATGGGGCACATGACCCTCTATGAACAGTACAGATAATCAAGCCTATTGTTAAGCGATGACTCTCTTTTGCATGTGACCAACCTGTTTGTCCATGTGGAGGCAGTGTTTATAAGGCTGAGTTCACCTGAAACTCATCAGACTGAAGAAGTCTCTTGGAGGAGAGACAAAACGTTTCACTAAAGAAGAACCATCCAGAGGACCTACTTATTTTTTCTTTTTTGATTTTTTTCTACCTGGATTACTAAGATGGATCACACTTAGTATTTAGAATTTTTCCTGRGACTTAATGTTTTTGTTTCTTTCCAACTGGGAAATCTTAACATACAAAAACTATTTGAGGTTTCTTTATAATGACGTCAAAAATTACTCAATAAATTTACATCAAATTAGGATTCAGACCAAATATTAATGTATTATCATAACCAACAAGACAAATTAAGTCATATCTCTTGATAAGCTGATGATATCAGGTTGATTCAGGTTTCAAAATGAAGCTTTTAAAGAAGGAATCTGGAAATCTAATTAGATCATTTTGACTTAATCCTTGTGTTGATACGATGGCTCACAAATAATACAAAAATAAATAAATTGAAGCAGAAAATTATGACCTGACTTTGTGTTTTCTTACTTGTCTTTAAGGACGTGGGGGAAAGCCTCCTCAACTTGTGTCGACCAAAGGAGACGAGTTCCCTGGAAGGGGTCCTCCGAACCGCAGCGGGACTCCTGGTGGGGGCGTGGAGGCGAGTCCTGGGGGACACCTTCGCTAACGGCGGGTTGCCCCCCCTCTCCGACCCACTGCCACTGATCCAAACACAGGTGTTGTTCAGTTACACAAACACACAGAAGGTTAAACTCTGCTGCCATCTTCTGGCCAAAGACTGAGGAGGTTTTACCTGCTGACAGACCTGATGATTTTCATTCTGCTGCGGAGCTTGAAGCCCCTCGGGGAGGGGGACAGGAGGAGGGAGCGCTGAGCTGAAGTTGGAGAAACAACAAATCCAGCTTTTGCTTCTTTGTTTCTCTCCGCCGTCCAGTGGAAGGAGGATGTACGGTGGGACGCCGCCGCCGCCGCGCTCGGACCCCCAGCGCTCGGACCCCCGGCCTTCCAACGGTAACGACTCCCAGAAGAAGAGCTGCCGGGAGAAAGTGACGCTTCCTTTTTGAGTTTCACACACTGAGCAGAAGCTGCTTTAGCTTTCAGGATCCTCTGAGGAAGGAGCGAGGCTTTGGGGGACGATCTGCGAGGAGTCCTGGTCTGGAGTCCAGAGGACGAGACCCACTTGTACTTGGAGGTCTTGGGAACCACGGCCACCGGGCTAAGCTTTCGAGCCAGTTTCTTGGGCGGGGTTCTCTTACTGGTGGAAGCTGGAGAAGGTTTTTCAGCAGCAGCTACAGGAGCTGTGCTGGTGGACTCCACAGTCTGGCTCTTCACCCACAGAAATTTAGACTTTTTCGAGAAAGACTCGTGAACTTCAGAGCYAACGCTCTGGGAGGAGACGCTCTTTAAAACTGCAGAGGGAGCAGAGGGAGCTGCTGCGCTCCTAGCTGGGAGCGGTGCTGAAGTTGTAGACGTTAAAGTTTTCTTTACATCAGTTCTGCCTTTGATGCTCAGGGAAGGTTTGTTTTGAGTTTGAGCTTGTGTAGAAACATTAGCATTAACTGCAGGAGGAAGTCTGCTGTCGAGCTCTCGTTGAAACGCCAGCGTCTGCGACGCCTCGTGACGTGGGCCGGCGACTGCTGGACTTGAACCTTGTTTTTCAGCTTCTGTGTTTAATTTGTTTGTCGCTGCTGCCTTTGTCCTCGTTTTACCGTGTTGCTCTTTATGTTGCTGAGGACTCTCTGGTTGTACGGTTTGAGTACGATCAGCCTCGTTTCCTCTGCTGTGGCCCGGCAGGGACACGTCGTCAGTTCGGAGCTGAGAGGCACAGCGATGAAAAGGAGAGGCTGGAACTGACTGGGGGCCGGTGTTTCTCAGAGAATACGTTTTCCTCCAGCTTCCACGACTCTGAGAAGGATACGGTCTCCCTCTGAAGCTGTGATGATAAACAGCAGACGTACCGGCTGCCGTAGGAGCTTGAGGACGCCTCGGTTCTGGTCCTGCAAACGGTGCATCTCCGTGGACGCTCTTGTGATTACTGATGAGGTCTGAAATGTTTGACAGCAGCTTCAATTTTGTTGCAAAATCACATGAAAACAAAACCTACTTTTTGTCATTTGCTTGTTTCGTGAAAGTAACATCCCTTTCTTTGCCCTGTCACCTCTGAAAACAACTGAAAACAACTGAAAACAACTGAAAACAACTGGTACAACAGAAATAACAGGTAATAATAAAGACAGGATTTTACTGAAACCTTTACAATTTGAACTAAGCATATCTGAGTAACAACAACAACAACAACAACAACAACAACAACAACAACAACACCATTTCTTTGCCTGAACGACTGATAATTTGATTACGTAACGTCCAAATTATAGTTAACACTCAAACAATCATTTCCCATTTACAAACAGATCAAGACAAACTTAATAAAAAAAGAAACCTTACACGATTGTTGACATGTCAGTAAGGTTATTTAAGCTAATAAACCGTTAATTCTTTAAACTGTCAAAATACCGAGACAGGACGACACAGTTTATAACAAAATATTTTTTTAAATCACAGTGTGATTAAAATATATTTACTTTAAAACGTGTTTGTGACAAACAAACAAACCAACATTCACGAGAAACCAGAATTACCTTGAAGAAGTTTAATTTGCCTCTTCAGCGCTTCTCGTTMCTCCATGTTTACGACTCGTCAACACAGAGGCGCTCGATGATGACGTTTCTTATATCAGCCAATCACAGGCCAAGTTTGTTACATATCATTTATAGCCCTGAGTAAAGGCTTACAGGCTCAAACGTTCTTCAATGTGAATATTAATTTCAGTAATATTCATTTAAGTTATGATAATTCGGTTTATATACTTATAAAAGTTATTTATTTGCATAGTTTCAATAAAAAAACTTTGACTTTTCGCGTGTTGCCTGTAAAACCTTACCGAGGGTTTTACAACCACGCGCATTTGTCAAGCTACCACTGCTGTCGATCAAAAAATAAAAACAGCTCGTTTGAAACCGTTGCGTGTATTTTAATAGTATCAGACGTTAGAATAGCGAGGAGTTGATACTGAACCAGTTTACGACCTGGTAACTGTCGTTTCATCGGTGCCCGTTAAACGCAGCTGCGCCGAAGTGGCATGAAGTGAAAGGGGAAGTGAAACTTTAAGCAGCCAAGCAAGTGCGAAGAAACAACAGAAAGTAACTCAAAAGTCGATCAGGTAAAGCTAACTCCAGCTGTTTTTCATACATCATAAACAGTAAACAGTTGTAGAAGTGTTGGTTTGAAGCTACATGCAGATTTTTTCTTAACTATTCAGTTAATTTTAGCAAAGCTAATTAGCTAGCTAGCTTCAGAGTTGCCAAACAATAACAGACGTGTTGCTCTGAGCTGTTATGAGTTGTTTGTGTGTGTTTGTGCAGAATCTCCTGACACCATCATGGATCCATCAGAAAAGATGTTCTTCATCCTAACAGAAAAACCTAAATACATTCTACCTCGTCTTGGATGTATTTGTTATATTCGTAAATACAAATATGAATCAGAAATCTCAAAATCTGCTTCACTAAAGAAGCTGAGAGTTATTCCTTTACCAAATGCAATGTTAGATTATGATATCGACATGAACTGCATGAAGAGCCTGAGTCCAGAGGAGGCTGACCTGCTGTTAGCCGTACCAGAAGAAGACAGGTTGAGGTGCTTCAGAGACAGGAAGGCAGTCCAGGCAGCCCTGACCCTGGATGTGGGATCCTTGGTAGTTGTGGACGAGGATGGAGAGAACCTGAGAGGCATCGTCCGCTACATTGGACCCTTAACCGAGCCCAGTCGTTCCTGCCCCATTACAGGGACCTTCTTTGGAATTGAACTACAGGTGTGAAATGGTGCAAAGTTTAGTCCGATTCTCCTTTCTGTGCACGTGCAGTCGCTGTAAAAACCTAAATGTGACCGCTTCATATTCCAGGATAACCTCAGATTACAGTTYTATAAGCAGTAACGTGGACATGCGATCAGTAATATTAGAAAATACATTGATAATAGAGATGGGATAAATGGCTCTTTGAAGGGATCTGGATCTTGGGGAGCCGTTTGTGTCATAGAACTGATCAAGAGAGCCGTTCGATTTTGAACGTATTACATCATCACAGGGAAATACGTCATCACGTAGGGAAAAACGTCATCACAGGGAAATACATCATTACGTAGGAAAATACGTCATCACAGGGAAATACGTCATCACAGGGAAATACGTCATCACGTAGGGAAATACGTCATCACGTAGGGAAATATGTCATCACAGGGAAATACGTCATCACAGGGAAATATGTCATCACAGGGAAATACGTCATCACGTAGGGAAATACGTCATCACGTAGGGAAATACGTCATCACGTAGGGAAATACGTCATCACGTAGGGAAATACGTGATGATATAATCCCGTCACGTGGGTGGAACCATTTGTTTTGTCAAGCGGAAACCCCCCTCCCCCTTTCTCCGTGAGCTTCTGTACTCCACAACTCCGCCTGTTTTCCGTGAAAAAGCAAAGCGGGAGCGATTTAAGTCTGAAAAAATAAAGATTAAATGAGGAATAAAAGAAATAAAACTACAAATGGCTCGTTACTGCCCGTGATTCGGCTCTTATCGTTCGTTGTAAAGAGCCGTTCAAAAGATTCGGATCGTTCGRGAACGTCACATCTCTAGTTGATAAAATGTTTATAATTTGATTGAACTCTGATCCAGAACCGCACGYCATTCTGGGAGATGTYGGCAAAGGAAAGGCAGGTCCGTATTTTTAAGAAGATTCAACCAATTATCAGTAAAGTTGGTCTATCTGAGCCTGTAGACYTTTGACACTGTGTGGACTGGAGAAAATCCACAAAAAAACTCAAACCGACCATTTCTAGAAAAAAGAACGATTCAAATAAACCATTAAAATCTTCAATCAGTCAACTTTATTTGTACCTGCAGGTAAATCTGATTACAGTGAAAATGAGTCAGCTTCATTTCAAGAAAAACAAGACGTCTGACATGGACTTACAGAAGACATTCAGAGGACATACATTGGACATACATTAGACATACAGTAGGCATACGTTAGACATACAATGGACATACAGAAGACATACATTGGACATACAGTGGACATACAGAAGACATACATTGGACATACAGTGGACATACAGAGGACATACATTAGACATACATTAGACATACAGTAGACAAACAGACATACATTAGACATACAGAGGACATACATTAGACATACAGAAGACATACATAGACATACATTGGACATACAGTGGATATACAGTGGACATACAGTGGACATACAGTGGACACAACATGATTAAAAAGTGACCAGGGGCTCATAAAACGTTACCATATAAGAATCAAAGATAAAAACATGATAAAATCAAATAAAACTATATAAAACAAAAAAAGACTAATTGATATTATGTTATACTATGTTAACTTGAGTTTAAAAAGCTAATTACAACAGGGACAAAGCTGATTTTAAAARGCTTWGTTTGACATTTAGGCACTAAGTATCTACACCCTGAAGGGAGGAGCCTGAACGTACCGTGCAGACGATGAGACACGTCTTTCAGAARGGATCCAGACAACCTCTGGACCTGCCTGAGGACAGGGGTTCTGGATCTAATAGCATCTTTCCAGTCAGTTTACTGGAGCACTTCACTATTTGGTTCAGGGAGTTCTTGTTTTTCAGAGAAAGATGACCAAACAGGACACGATAGCAGGGTTTTGTCGATGTTAAAGGATGACAGTTTTCTGAGACAGAACAGGCGTTGGTTTGATTTTAGTTTGCCTCGAAGGACAGTTTACTGCCAATAGCTGTACCCAGATATTTATATGTATCCACACTTCCACTGTCGGACCCTTCAGAGGAGTAGTCTCCTGTTTCTGTGGGTGTTTTCTAAAATCACTAATCACATCCTTTGTTTTTCAAACGAYGGTGACGATCGTCTCGTCTCGTATGATCTCTGATCACAGCTGCCTGTTCTGCTGTGCTCTTGTCTTCCAGGGCACGGACAAAGGGAAGGGAAACACCAACGGCAGTTATAAAAACAGACAACGGTTCACATGCGACAAAGACTGCGGCGTTTTCGCCCCGTTTTCCAGAATCAGACCGGCGGTTTCCAGATCTCTGTCTCGCACCATGTCCGACCCACGCTCTCAGCCGGACGCCGGGGCGCTGTCCCCGGGAGACAGAGTCGTCTTCTTCATCGACAACAAGTGTCGCCAAGGCATGGTGGTGAACCTGGAAGAGCAGAACGGGAAGCAGTATGTGCGGATCTCCACTGTAAGTAATCAATAATCTTTGATCAGTTTGTTCAGATCATCATCACCACCACGTGTTTTTGTCTTCAGGACACGGACGAGGCTGGAAAGAGAGGAGGAGAGGTTAAAGTTTCAATAGAAAGTGTTTCTAAAGGAGAAATACCTTCAGGTTTGAGCAGCTCTTTAAACACGAGGCTGTTTTCTGCAGTTATCTGAAGTCTGACAGATAAATTCGTCACGCTGTAGGTCCTGAGAGCATGATGGTGGACCCCCCGCCTGTGGAAGAACCTGCTGATCCACACATGGACCTGAACTCCATGGTAGAAGTCACGTTAGGGAAGGGGAACTGTTATGGGATCATCCGCTGGATGGGCTTCCTGCCTGAACGTGAGGATAAGATGGTTGGACTGGAGCTGGTAAACCTTCATTCTGATGTTTATCTTCAGATCTGTATCATTTAAAACCAATAGTGCAACTAACTATTATTTTAATAAATCGATTAATCTGTCGATTAGTTTTTCGATGAATCGGCCAAATTATTAAAACACTTAATTACATAAATATAAGTAGATTTAAATTAATTTAATTCCTGTATAAATTAGGGATGCAAGTTATCAATTTATTTGAAGTTGATTTTATAATCAACTTATAATCATTTTCTAATATGCTAAATTAAAAAAAGAAGCACATCATAAATATTTTCACAATTGATTTTGCAGCTGGATTAAACAC